AACACTGCACTGAGAGAGAGAGGGGTTAATACAGACACACTGACTGGACACTCCAGTAGATTAACACTGCACTGAGAGAGAGAGGGGTTCATACAGACACACTGACTGGACACTCCAGTACATGAACACTGCACTGAGAGAGAGAGGGGTGTCTGACCGTGCAGGTGTCGGGGTTCACCATGCTGCAGGGCCGGGGTCGGGGGTGGAAGGAGCTCACAGGGCAGCGCTCATCGCCCGGCTCAGCGGCCCAGCGGCTCGGACCCAAGCCCAGCGTGTGCAGGCTGCCGGTACTGGTGCTGCTGAGCTTGGAGAGAGGAGGAGAGCTGAGGGAATAATGAGAGGGAGTGTGTGACAAACACACAACACAGCACACACACACTACAGCACACACACTAGACAACACCCAGAGTAGTACAGATACACACACACACTACACCCAGAGTACAGATCCACACAGGACAGGACAGACACACACAGTGTGCAGAACAGACACACAGTGCGGGACAGACACACACAGTGTGCGGGACAGGACAGACACACACAGTGTGCAGGATAGACACACAGTGCAGACCTGGTGTCGGGCTGATCAGGTGAATTCTCGCAGGGCTGAGTGTACGAGAAAGGAAACCAGCCTTTCCTGAAGAAGAGAGAGAAGAGACAAACCGAGTTAGACAGAGACTCATAGACACAGAGACAGTAAGTAAGTATAGAGGGAGAGAGGCACAGAGAGGGGGACAGAAGGACAGACAGGCGGACAGACGGACAGACAGGGCTACCGGCCAGTCCTCTCGTTCTGCCCGTAGTGCCAGCCCTCGCGGGGCTCAGAGATGAGTAGGGTCAGCGTGTCTCCGGCCAGGAAGTGCAGCAGACAGGCCCCCCCGGCGGCGGCCTCGCCGGCGCCCCCCTGAGGCGAGTGGGGGAACAGCGCCTCCACGCGCGCGGGTGCGGACAGGGGCAGCACGCGGGGCAGAGTGCTCCCTGGGAGACAGAGACAGAGCAGAGCGCCGGTCACATTTCCCGGCCCGATCCCAGCAGCCCCCCGGCCCCCGGCCCCGGACTCACCCAGGAATCCCAGGCGCGCCTCGCTGACTGGTCTCCGTGGCAACGGCAGGGTGGCGGTGGAGTACAGCTCCGATGGGCGGGAGGGTGGCAGGGGACTGTGGGAAGGAGGAGGACTACCGGTGCCTTCTGGGGGAGGCAGTGGGGTGAGTGCACGAGACATCGGGGCACTGTGGGACTGCGGAGGACTCTGCGGGGCACTCTGGGGCACAGGTGGGCCCTGCAGGGAACTGTGGGCTGGTGGAGGACTCTGGCTGACAGATGAGGAAGAGGAAACGGGGGGATTGTGGGAGAGTGACACACTGTGGGCGGATGAAGGGAGAGGAGGCTGCTGTGAAGTGGTCAAGCTGTGGTTGCCGAGCTGGGGCCCGTGATGGGCTTGTTGGGTGTGAGGGCGGGCGGTCTGGGCTGGTGAATGCTTGGAAGACTCTTTCTGAGCGCTCGGCGGGGCGCGGGACCGAAACTGAGCGTCTCCATTGAGGAGAGGCGGGACCTCCTGGACAGAGAGCCTCTGAGAGAGACAGAAAATGCAAGGGCAATCGATCAGCACTGCGCAGCCGAGAATCACACAAAACTGTGGGTTTAACTTCTTCTGAGTCCGAACACACACATGGATTCACTCACCTGCTCTAGGGTCCAAACACACGCCCATTCACTCACCTGCTTTAGGATCCAAACACACATAGATTCACTCACCTGCTATAGAGTGCAAACACACATCGATTCAATTTTCAATTCAAGGTGCTTTATGAGCATGACCGATGGGTACAATCAGTGTTGCCACAGCAAATAAAAATAATAAAATTAACATGAAACAAAACAAAAAATAAAATAAAATCTACAGACATATTATAGCCATTTACAACAAAGATGTATCATAAATATTTACATATACTGTAAACACATGGGGCATTATTGAGAGACAGGCTCACTGTCTGTTCCTCAGGCTGTGACCGGAGATCACATACTGGGCTGCCAGTTCAACTGAGTTCCCTCCTCCCTCTCCCAGTAGGATTGGGACCCGTTGTGATTCTGGCAGGTGTGGGAACTCTGGGATTAGATTTCTGGGATTTAGGGAAGAATGTTTCTCTAATCCCAGACTATCTGTCACAGTGCAGTAGGAAGTGCACCTCTGTCTCTATTTCTCCCCGCTGGCAGTGGGAGCACAGCCTGTCCTCTCTGG